GAGGGCCCCCCCCCCGCCCGCGGCCCCCGCCCCCCCCTCCCCCGCCCCGCCCGCACCCACAGACAGAGCCTGGCCTGGCTCCCCAGGGCCCCCGCAGACACCTGCTCCTCAGCAGATGGCGCAGGGCAGGGGGCCCGGGTCTGTGCCCTGCTCCTATCTGAGCTCCTGCCCTCGTCCCCAACAGCCCACTGAAGGGTCAAGACCAAAGGCCCATGGGGCCCTCGGGGGTGGGGGGGAGGGCCGGGGGCCCCAGGGTCACCGCTCCGGCCTGGCTCAGGGCAGCTCTCTCCAGGGACCTCCACCTCCCCCTAGAGCTGTTTTAGCCCAGACCCCGGCCCTGGCCGCCCTCGCTGCCCTGGCGTCCCGGGAGACTTACAGCGCGAGGGGCCGCTGGGTCCCGGGGGTCCCGGAGCTGGAGCCAGAGCCAGAGCGGCTGCCCTGTGTCGAGGGAGAGGGCAGTGAGCGTGGCTCCTGGCGGGGCGGGCGGGGCCCTGGCTAGCTGTGCATGGGAGTGGGGGCGGCTCACCTGGCGCGTCTTGGCCGAGGTCTCGATGTAGGGGATGCCGTAGCTGCGGGCCAGGTCTTGCGCCTGCCGAGACTCCACGGTGCGTGCGGCCAGGTCGCACTTGTTTCCTACCAGCACCATGGGCACGTCGTCCGAGTCCTTCACCCGCTTGATCTGCTCCCTGCAAGGAGGAAGGTGTGAGCGGGCCGGCCGGCTGGCTGCATCCAACGCACACACCAGGAGGACGGGGAGGCCCCCAAGGACGGGGGGCAGCTCGCCTGTACTGGTGGATGTCCTCGAAGGACTTGGTGTTGTTGATGGCAAACACGCAGAGGAAGCCCTCCCCGGTGCGCATGTACTGGTCCCGCATGGCGCTGTACTCCTCCTGGCCGGCCGTGTCCAGAATGTCCAGCAGACACGTCTCCCCGTCAATGACCACTTGCTTCCGGTAGGAGTCCTGTGGGAGGCCACACCTTAGGGACCCAGCCCTCCCGATATGGGGCATTTGCACTCCCAGCCCCTCCTTGATCTCCTGTGGCCGCTAGGTCCCCTGGTGCACGGACCTCCTCCGACGGAGCAGGCAGAAGGTGAGCCCGCGTCAGGACATGGGGCTGGGGCGGGTGGGCGGCACCCCTCACCTCGATGGGGGGGCGG